TGGACTAAAGTAAAGACGTATTGTGGGATCACGTAGCCTAGAGCAAAATGCATAACATTTATCATGAAATTAAAAATATCGATTCAATTTTAAATTTAAATAGTTTCTGAATTAAGCTATTTTCTGTTATACCACAAACGTGTATAACAAAAAAAAAAAAAACCTCTTTAATAAAAGTAGATTCTAGATAAAGAAATCAACAAATATTTTTCCAGTTTTGTTGTCTATACATTTCATTTTATACTTTCAGTACATAGGCTAACAACGATATTAGGTTATAGTTTTGTAGCTAAGCAACATGACGTAAAAGCCATTGTTGGAACTGATTTTTACCAATAATTATTCTATGGATACCCCACGAATTTATTTCATGTATGATCTTAATTTTAATTGACCCACAAAGGAATTTACCGACGTTTGACTGCCTCGACTGCACTTTTCTGCTTCCTGTTGCTCAAGCTTGATTACGCAAAAATTATTTATTTCAGTTAGCTATAAAATTTGAGGTTAGGGTATACTATGGTTAGGGGTTGGGGGGTAGTACTTCCTCGTCATTTTTGACGGGCTATATGCTAGTGCGTAATAAACTAAACAAACTGATTTATTTTACAGTTTTATAGATAACTGAAAAAATAAATCTATATGTTTAGTCTTTGCCTGTTGTTAAGCGTAAAGCTACACAACGGACTATCTGTCTTCTGCCCACATCGGATATTGAAACCCGATTTTTAGTGTTATAAGCTCTTAGATTTATCCCTGAAGCATCCGAGGGGAACAGAGAAGTTTGTAAGTTTCGAGCAAAACTACTTGTGCTTGCCGTCCCTAACTTTGAAGTGATTGCCTAGAGAGAAGGCAGTTAGACAACACCACACACACCACCAACTCTTTAGTTACTTTACCAACAAAAGTGAAATCAACAGTCACGTTATAAAGTCCTCAAGGCTGAAGGGGCGAGCATGTTCGACGATATGAGTCGGGGGTTCTAACTGGCCAGCCCATGACAGGCCCGGAGGAAGAAGAAGTTTTATGTCACATATCATCCCTTGTAGGATCTCAGAGTAGGCACGTAATTCATAGTTCATAAAAAAAACAAGAGAATAGTTGGTTAAGCCTCCTTTTACCTGTGAACCTAAAAATACAGGTTAAACAAAATTAAAGAAAAATTGTTATGTTTAAGAGATTTAACTATATGCGACAAAAAATTTTTAGTATGTATTGTGCCGTTTTCCATTTTCGAGTGGCATATTTCCTGACGTTACACAGTTACGGACTGTTGATAGTAAATATTGATTTTCTTTCATAAAGTTACTGGTAGTTATTATAATATAAATTGAGCATATGGATACGTTTTCAACATCTTCCAATACGTACACATAATTACATTTACTACGATTTTTTATTTATTTTTTTTACGAATATCAATTTACTCAAATATTCAATTTTAAATTATATTCGATGATGATTATAAATTACCGAAAGAGGCTGACACAAGTGTTCTGCTTATCTGCTGAGTTCGGTTGAAATAAGTGAACTTCCTACTCTGGATCAGGTATAAAAAAAAACGGTAGTTACTCTTAAAGTCTAATTGACACAGTAACAATAATTTCACTTTTTGGCTATCACTGGTATCAGTTATATCTATATGTTGACAAGTTTATTAGTATTAAATTGGGATAATTAGTAAAACTAAACTTAAACTTTTAAAGGTAGTGTAGGATATTATACTTTTATAGTTTATAACGATTTGTTTAAACTCAATTTAATGGAACTTTGGAAGAACAAAGATATTTATTGAAGAAAACATTTTTGTAAATTACCAGTGTGCTTACAGTTGCAATCGTTTAATTGGTTTTACATATACACTATAGATTGTGGCAAGTAACTAATAAAAGTAATACAGTATTTAAACCATAATTATTTATTGTTGCAAAAACAAATATATTTTGCTACGTTTCGACATTTCGGGTCATCATCAATTATTTGTTTAGTATTGTATTACTATCAGTATTACTCACTATTAGCATAATGTGCTTCTCTATAAAGGTGGGACACTATTTGTAATTGTACTAGGCATGTTATTAAAATAAAAAGAATGATACTGATAATGTAACAGGGAAGATAAAACCTAGAAGTCGTCTGGAAATTAAGCAAATTTATATTTCAAATAGGATGGTAAAGCCTTTGGTTTGGAGTAGATTGCTTTCAGACGTGGTAGATACAACAAAATTGATTGAGTTCGACTTCAGGGGAAGACTTGATGAATAGTTAGAAAATTAGGCGTTGTATACAAGTGTTTGATAAATGAATAGCATGGGACAGCAATGATGCCGTTCAAATGTTATGTTAATGGGTTTACTAAAGACAGGAGAGAATCAAGGCTAAGTAGCATAAGTTTAAGAGCTTTTTAAAATTAACAAATAGGGTGGAAGATTTACAGAACTGTAACATTATATTTATGACATGTTCTATTGTTGGGCAGGATTATTTGGTAAAAATAATGTCAAGTCCAGTCCACATAACAATGATGAGTTAGTTCCTTTCTTCTAATGTTCACTTTTTTAGTTTTACCCTGGTTGTAGGCTAAAATTCACAAACTAAGTGTTTCAAAAAAAATTCCTTGCTAATGGTACTATGCCTAACTTATAAAAGTAGTTACTTGTACAATTCCATGGCTGATCAGTCTATTAACTAAATATAAGTGATAACTCTCACTGAATAACTTTTTTAACCCTAAACTGAATTCTAGTACTAAATATTTTACTAAATTCTCAATTTCACTGACTGTTTACTTGTCTTTGTAAATAATGTACCCTTGTCTCTAGGTGTTAGATAAAAGTTCTTGATTATTACATCATGGTTAGCAGCTCCCTCTAACTAACAAATAAATTATATCATTAAAAATTTAGCTTACAACAATAGCAAAGATAGGAATTTAGTTAATAAGAAAATATAAATTCTAAAAGGCCAGGATTTTTGAGAATCAACTGGCTGATAATGGTGAAACTAATGGCAAGTTCTGTTCTTTCATTATTAGTATAAAGGTAAGCAGAAGGTTAAAGTAGGGAATGTACCATCATAGGATGCTGATGGCAAAATTTTTGTTTAAGGTTTGAGGTTTTTCAAATTTTCACTCTCATATTTTAACAAGAGAGGATTCTAGCAATATTCCTGACTGCATAATCTATGTAAAAAAAAATATCAGGAATGACCAGTAATTTATTTTAAAATAGGAGTAACCTTAGGCACTTGTTTACTGTCTGTTGATCCATAAAAAATGAAAGAGATTCATATATCTAATCTTTAACCTTTTTTAGAACCCTGGGGAACCATATTTGTCCCTGGTGTTTTATCTGTTTCTAATCAATCTCTACTTACAACCAAGAGATTAATATCTATATTATTCTTCAGCATAATTCCAATATTTCCTTTAGAATGCTTAGGGTCAGGTATAATGCTAACATCTTGTCCAATCAAAATAAAAGAGAAGAAAAAATTTTAAATCTCAGCTGTCTCATAGTCTAACAAAAATCTTGCCAGCACCTTCATTTAAGAGCCTATTCCCCATTGTAACATTTTGCTTTTTTTTCAAGATAATTACAAAATAACTGCTAGTAGTTGTAGCATTATAACCTAACTTTTTCTCAAGACTTTTGGGTTTCTAATTTCTTTTTTTAACCAAAGTCCTAGATTCTTATTGTTCTGTTATTCCTCTTTACTGTCTGTTAGTTTAAACCTCTTAAACTTATGGTATTTTTCCTTGACGTTCTTAATGTCTTTAGTAAATCAACTAGGTTTTATCTTCCTTGTTGTCCTTTTCTTCTTTTTGGAGCATTCCTGGCTTAACTTAAAAACAATTTATTGAAAAAAGAATTCAAATGTGTCACACATCATCTATCAACTCACTATCTTAATTCACTAAAGAAATAACTTATTTCTTGGCCTCAGAATTGGCTTTTTGAAAATAAGGAATTAAAATTTAATGTGTAGCAAAACTTCAAATTTAGTTATGCAGTGACTATTCTTCCCCAAATGTTTTCTGTCTTAACTCTTGCCACCGCATCCTGTTAACAATAAGTCTAAAATATCTGGTTGGTTCTCTGGCAGTTTGGTCTGGAGAACCATTCTCAATCACTTTAAGGATCCTCTGTTTACTCACTGTTTGAGTCAATCCAATCAATAAGTTAAGTCTCATATAATTATTGTATCAGTATTCTTATTAGTAACAAACCTTATCTTGTACAATTTCTCAATGAATTCACTTATCTGATCAGGTGTGCTGTAACAGTTGCCATTTAAAATATTTGATTCCTGAGATCCCTGATTGTAACCTATATGTATTACATACAGCATAATATTTAAGGATAACAAGGGGCCTATTAGTCCATTGAGGCTGTCTCATCCATTAAACTAAAATAAACAAAAAGCCTTAAAGCCAGGTTGTATCATTTATTATGCCTTCCATGAAACTTTCTTTGAATTTACTGCATCAATTACAATGAAAGGCAACCCATTCCAAATGCCAACAATCCTGTTTGAGATATTAAACTACTTTTGCTGAAGATGACTCTTACCATGGCAAAATTTTATGTGTCCTCATTTCCTGTCATTTTCATTATTAAGTATGGAAAAAGATGATGTATCAACGTTATCAGTTCCCATAATCTTAAACTCCTCAGTCAGATTCCCACTAACTCTTCTTCTTTTCAAGAGAAAACAGTTTCAGAGATTCTAACCTGTCCTCGTATTACAATCATTTCATCTCAAGTATCATCTTAGTAGCCCTCTTCTGAATTCTTTTCAACAATTCATTACCCTTCCTAAGATAAAGGAGCCCAAGACTGAATACAGTTCTCCAAATGCTAACCAGCAACCTGTTAAATGAAATTATAACCACTTTAGACGTATATTCAATATTTCTGTAAATACAACCTAAAATCCTATTTGCCATACTCCTAGCAACAAAACATCAAGATTTTTTTCTTCTATAACACTGTTAAGGTTATTCCCATCAAAATTATAATTCATTAAATAATCTGAATGCTTTATCAAACAGCACTATTCTCCACACAGTGAGCAACACTCAAGATATTAATATCATCAGCAAATTTAAGCAATGTATTGACCATTCCTTCATCTGTGTCACTGATGTAAAACAAAAATAGCAAAGGTCCTAACATTTAGGTACCAGACTTATGGCATTATTCCAGTTTTACTGAATTTCATTTATAACAACTCTGCTTACTAGCATCTATTCAACTATTTTTTTATCCAATAAACCAACTTATCTCCCATATCTATGGAGATCATTTTTTTTAATGAGTCTTTTATGTGACACCTTATCAAATGTTTTCTGTAATTTCATCAAATTCACACCCTTACCCTCATTTACATAAGCAGTGACCTCTTCAAAGAATGTCAAATAATTAGTAAGGCAAGACTTTCTCATACTGAAACAATGTTGAATATTCAAACAAATTTTAAACTTTATTGACTTTCTTTGCAAAACATTTTTTATCAGACATTTAAAATGTTTTCTATCATTAATGTAAGACTAATAGATCTATAATTACCTGGAGAGATTTTATCACCTCCCTTGAAAAGAAGAATAACACTAGCCAACTTCCAGTCTTCTGGCACTTGCCCACTATTCTGGGATTTACAAGATATTACTAAGTGGCTCATATATCTGATAATTACCTCCTTCACAACCATTGGGGAAATGTTACCTAGCCTCAATAGCTTTATCATTCTTTAAACCTCCACATTTTCTTAACAAGCTCAGAATTAATGTTTGATTTGGTTTCCATCTAGCAACTATTCAGGATGGGGAATATTTCTTAAATATTCCTTAGTCAAAACTGAAGAAAAGCAGAATTTACTTACCCAGTCATCTCATAATTGTCAGTAATTTGCTTTCCTCTATTGTCTCTACTCCCATCCAACATTTTGCTTACCTTTAATGTACTTACAAGATATTTACGGTTTTATATTTTTACTCCTATTTTCATATACCTTTTTCAATTTCCTAAGCCTAGTAATAGCAGCCAATTTATTATGCTCTCCTTTAATTTTATTACTTGTATTCTTTTTTTTTCTATAAGGAAGATGTTTATTTTGAATATTTAGAAATTTTCTACACTTGATCAGTATCTCCAGTTAATTCAGTTGCCAAATTCATAAGAGATATTTACCTCTGCCACCGAAGGTGACGGAGGTTATGTTTTCACACTGTCTCTGTTTGTCAGCAGGATTTTTTTCAAACAGCTGAATCGATTTGGATGAAAGTTGGTATACATTTGGACTATGACCCAAATTAGAAGTGATTAGTTTTTGAAGGGTCAAGGTCAAAGATCACGAAAATACAAAAAATCACTATCTGTTAACATGGAGACTGATTTTTACACTATTTTGGTTCTATAGCTCAGTCAAAAATGATCAGATTTTGATGAAACTTGGTGGACATATGTAGAACATTATACCTCATTAGCATGCCAAAAATGGTATGTGGCTGTCTATAATGATGGACCTACAGATACATTTTTGTATTTTTTTGAGGGCCAAATGTGATGAAAGCTGTGTGGTAGAGGTCTATGCTCTACTGAGTGCTCTTCCAGTTTTTGTTGCATCCATTCAAAACTTGCTTTTTTGATTATAGTAACCAAAATATCACCCTTAATCTCACTGTAGAGTTTCTCATTAATTTCATCAGTTTCATATGGTGATCTGTAACAGCTCCAAATAAAAGTCTTTTCTTCCCTATATCCACTAATAAACCCAAATAGATTCAATCTCCTTGCTAGTATCTTTGATAACCTCAACTTCAACAGGATTTAACTTCCATTTTATATGCAGTGCCACCCCTTTCACACTTTTTAATACTTTATCTTTACTAGTGGAAAAAATATTTAAAAAAAGTTGAAAGTGTAGGAATGGGGGCACCAAAAAAAAGTGAGGAAACAAGGTAGGAATGAACATGGTGTAATAAAACTTCCTATTAGCTTTGATATCCTCAATTTGAACAAGCTGTAACTTGCATTGTACATATAAAGCCACTCTCTCCAATTTCTTAGTATCCTGTCCCTATTAAACAACCTATAAACTTTTATTTCAAAGAGATTTCTGTCATGAAAATTGTCATTAGCCAGGTTTCAGCTCTTCCCATTATATTAAAAGCCTTTGTTCCGATCAGTGCTCTAAGTTCATTCACCTTGTGTTTTATACTTCTCTCATTACAATAATAATAAGTTAACCTACCATGAAAACTACATATGTACCCTGTTCCCACATTATACCCCTCTCTATCTATTTTATCTTTATTATTGTGGCCCTCTCCACTGTCTAATCCAAGTTTAATTTTGCCCCTACAGTGCAGCAAACAAGCCAGCCACTACTTTATTTGAATGTAAACCATCCACTCTGAAAAGCTCATCTCACAAATCCAACCTTCTCTTTCTTATATATTAACCTAAACCTAGCACTCAGCCCTAGTGATCTACTTATAATTTGATTCATGCAGTTAAATCTTAAATCCTGAAAAACTTAAGTTATTATGGTCCTTTTATTTGAATGTCTTTATTAATACCTTGCACTTAACAATAAACTCCTCTGACCTACCTTTTCCTACATCATTAGCCCCTGTATGTACAACAAAACTGCATCTCTGCTAGCCCCCTTCATAATATCTCTTGTTCTGTCAGTTATATCCCCTGGCCCAAGATAGCATAATCTAATTCTTTTCTCCCTATTTAACACACAACTATCCTATAGATGTGTTGTAGTGAAGAATCTTCTATAACAATAACCTCATTGTTTTCATCCCAATCTGTCGCTTTTGTTATCCTTCCCCCTCAAGTTCATCATCTGCACAAGCTAAAGGCTGAAATCTGTTACTTAATAAATCTTGCCTATCATAATTAAATCCACTACTACTAGCCTTATTAGTACTGTTTTTAACTACATGAAAGCCATTATTAGCCATTGCATCCTTTGCAAGCAAAAGCTTAATTTCTTCTTTAAATTCTGCTCCCATTTCCTGTAGTTTACCCTTCTCTTTATCCTTATCCTCTATCCTATTTAGAGCAACCTCTAATTTCTCCTCCAACCTACAAACTCTACATACAAATTGTACAACTCCACATTAGTTTCCTTATATATACATGTCAGCCCCCAAATCCCAAATAATGCTCACTCCTTGCACCTGCCACACCTAACCAACTGTAAGCACTTAACACTTACACTACTATTAACCATTGGGAATAAATAATCAACACTAAATACAAGTAGTTTATTGACAACTCTATTAAACCTAATGATATAATTAATATTATAAGCTATTTTATTGGTAACCGGACAACTAGACACCTATAAAAATGAGGAAGTAAGACTTTTAGTCACCTAATAATTTTAGAGAAGTATTAAAACTTCACAAAATACTTAAAATATATATAATGGAGATAATACATATAATGCAGTAAATTAATTTGGTAATGTATTAGACCTAGATATATACAGGACTTCTATATGCTTATGCAGTGTTGTACATGGAACACAATTGTTGTAATTATTGTTTTATTTTATAATAAACAAATAGTGTCTAAATGTCCTACTTTGTCAATTGTTTAGGTGTCTAGTTGTCCTGTATTCGTTTTATCACAACTACCTTCTCACTAAAGTAATTAAGTTTATCTTTAAAATGAGAAGTGATAAATAAGTAGTCTTTAGATTATGTTTATGTCATAAAACAATTTCTTTAGCCTATAATACAACTTATTAAGCCTACGAATAAATTGACATCTAAACAAATTAAGATTTTCAAGAAATAAGCCAATGGTGGCAAAATTCTTTATTTTAAAAATTATTTGATAGATATAGACCTTTTAAACTTGAGGAAATTGAAGTGATGAGACCCCGTTAATGGTGAGAATGTGAGACCAAGGCTAAATTTGCGAGATTTGACATGTCTGGTTTAATAATACTTATTGTTAAAAAAAGTATTTACTGCTAATATTCATATTTTAATACTGAAGAACTTATTTCTTTAGATACATTTAAGTAATGATCTTTAGTGGAATGCCTGTTTAGTTCTAGATTGTTTTAAGCTTGATTTTTTTATCAGAGATACCCTTTGGTTTGTAAAGCAACTTTATCTTTTAATTAAGTACTGAGAGAACAATTTCAACAAGTATATGATGTATAAGTGGCCACTGTTTTATAGCTACATACATATCTATTTTTAGGGTGAACATGACAGACACTGTTAGTACTGGAAGTGTAAGTGATGATAGAACTCATGCTTCATTCAGCCCCCAAAATGCACTCCCTCAAATACTTTTTAAAGAAAATTACATAACATCAAAGCACTGGACAGTAGTTATAGTTGGAGCTGGTGTTGCAGGATTGGCAGCTGCTCAGAGACTGATGGAAGGAGGTTGCAATAGTGTCCTGGTTTTAGAGGCACAAGATCATCCTGGTGGTCGAATCCATACTATGAATTTTGGTAAGATAATTGATGAACTGTCTAAAGTTTTACTTTGTGAGCTTCATACATTGATGGGCTACATTCTTAGAATATATGTAGAACACAACACCAGGCTTTGTATGCTTATTGGCTACATTATTAAAATATATGTAGAACACAACACCAGGCTTTGTATGCTTATTGGCTACATTATTAAAATATATGTAGAACACAACACTAGGTTGTATATGCTGATTGGCTACATTATTAGAATATATGTAGAACACAACACTAGGTTGTATGTTGTATATGCTGATTGGCTACATTATTAGAATATATGTAGAACACAACTCTAGGTTGTGTATGCTGATTGGCTACATTATTAAATATATTCTTTGAGGAATTAAGTTAGCATTATTTCTTCTTTGTGATGCAGGTATCTGTTGGCATCTAATCATTACCTGACATGCATTATCATATCATTGTATGTCCGTTACATTACACACATACCTAATTTCATTGATATTAACTCACAAGTTTCTTACTTACATTTTGTGTGTTATCTTGTCTTGAGTTAAGGTATAGTGTATGATGTAACTCAGTGTTCACATGATATCAAAAGCACTAGGTGTTTGTTGTTGATTGGCTTATCCCATAGAGGTATGTTTGTTTGTGTAAAAACATAATACTGATGTATGCTGAGCTGCACATATAAATACATTACTGGAAAGTTAGAGAGAAATTTTTCATTAGTATTTTTTATTAGTACCTCTAATACACACAATATCATGTAAGTGGCAATGTACTGGTGCCTGAGTGGATTTGCAGCTCAGCCTGTAAATGTAACTTGTCCAGTGTTTATGAAGTTTCCTGTGTAACTCATCTTTATGTGTTAATAAACTTTTTCATGGACTAATCGGTGTGTCTATTGAAGGAGTACATGCTGTTTACACAGCCTAGTTACAGAATAAGATCATCACAACATGTAGAAGACAACATTTAGTTCTTTATGTAAAATAGATTGAACATATGCCAGGTAATTTTTTGAACCCTTTAGATACAAAGATGAAGTCATATCTTGATTAGTCTGTAAGTATCATGAAGGACATTATAAAAGCTATCATATGACACTGATAACACAGGCTTGCAAATTTAAACTTCATAAAAGTTGTTTTGGTTTTACTAACAGATTTTCCATAATTCAACTACAGAGAGTTCAAAAATAATATTAATTTTTTTTCTATCACTTAAGGATTTTTTACAAATCGGGAAGAAAAAAACTCTTACTCTGATCAAATTATTATGTCGTTTACCACAATGAACATTTTTATTATTATGTTGTTAACAAAAATATAAACAAACTGAAGAAAAGGGAAGAACATTAATGTCAAACGAATATACATCCTCATTCATCCTGATTTTTTGTGAAATCTACATCTTTTAGTCTCAAAACTATGTGCTGTGGTCTTTCTTTTATGTATTGCATCTAGAGCATCTTGTTTCAATGACCAACAGTAATCAGCCATCATGCTGATGTTCCACCTTCCCTAATATCTCCTCTCCATTTCTCTGATGTCTTGATGAACCTTTCCCCTTATTCTTTGCTGACAGCACCAAGATTTTTAGGGAAATAGTCAATATGTGAGTGTAAGAAATGAACTTTTAAGCTCATATTACAACCCAACTCTTTGAATTTATCCAGCATGTTATTGACAATATTTTCATAATATTGGTTCTTTTTGTTTCATAAAAATTTGTCAATAATATCTTTAAAGTCAATCCATGC